TGTCGGTAGATAGTTAATCAAAAGTTAATATAGGGACATGTAAGCCGTTCTGACCAATGATGAATAGTTTCGACACAAAAAAATCCTAAAGTTGAAAAATCTCGATTTTGAACACCCTATATCTCTGTAATAATTCCTGCTAGACCCCAAGTGTGATGTATTGATGAAATCAGCTCTCAGAATCTAAAAACGCAATAAAATACAGGGTGTTCCATTTGAAATAACAAAGATGATGCTACTTTTTGGTAAAAGTGGCAACGCTGCTTCGCTGAAAATATTTTGAATCGTTAGATCACAAACGCTTATTAGAGTAACCAAATTTTCAGGATAATCCAATGTACCGTTTTCCGTATTCGTCTAAGGTACCATCGACCACCCTGTATAAAGAAATACATTGAGAATTCGCATTCTCCATGTGATGAAAATATTAATTCTTTCTCGGTTTATTCAACAGAAAACAACTACTTTCCTGCTCGACTTTCCTGGCTATATGCCACGACGAATATTGAATTACATTTATTGAACACACACGATAAGAATTTGAAAACAAAATCTTTTGAAGTAGAGAATTTGCATTCTCCTTCATATTAAGATATGCATATTATATCATTATGAATATTCCACAGAAAACAAATACTTTCCTGGCTATTTGCCAATTCGAACATTGAATTATATCTGTTGAATATTCAAAAAAAGAGAGCATGAAAAATCAAAATCCTCTGAAATTGAGTAATGACATTATCTCTCAAATCAAGATCAGAATTCATACAAATATACTTTTCCTATACATTTCAATTTTCATTTCAATACTGAACATATTGGTTAATTATATTTTTATATCATAATACATCATATTATTCATTCGGAGAATGTTTCCTTATGACATTCTAGTAAATAAAGTTCATATAAACAGTTGTCCCAACTTGCTCCGTTTTTGAGATACAGGATGTTGAAGTTGAAAGTATTAAAAGTTTTTATTTATAACCACCCTGTATAAGCTTTCATGGTGCCTACATTCAGTATGGATGGAGACTAGGAAAGCCCCAAAATTTGGGTTATTGAGTAATTTCAATGGATGTCTTGAGACACCTATAGTAAAATTTGTAGTCAAATCGAATTTTTATTGTTTCCGTGCGAAAAGCTACTAGCTATTTACCCACTGTGACGCCACTGGAAATATTATTTCGAATCTCATTGCACTAGAAGAAGCTCCATATTACTATCAATAAAACCACAACGTTCTATTGAAATTGATGAAAAGACACTTGAGAAATGGCTAGAAAAAAGATTTTTCATGGAAATATGAATACCCTCTGTATCTCGAAACCACAGATTATTAATCTGTGTCGTAACAGAAACAAGTTAGGACACATGTTTATATGAACTTTATTTCCTGAAATATCACAAGTCATCACCCCTTGAATTTTTTCGGTGTTATTCAGATACACGGACACAAATTTTCGGGATAACAGTCGGAATTTCTATCAGCTGATAAAAGAAGAAACCCATGGCAATTCTACGCTTCCGTACAAAAAGCCTTTACTTTCCCCTTTGTGTGCACCCTGTTAATCTATCAATTAATTAGCTTATATTATTAGCGCCAAAACCGTAGAATCGTACAAAGATTCGATCATCTTCATCTGATGAACACGACAGTTCCCATTGCTATAATGAAGACGAGCTCACTGAAGCAGATTGCAATTGCTAGCTAATGAGTTCTCGAAAACGTATAATCCCTCGATTCCCTCGGTATACTTACTTAATTATTCATCACGATATAGGAAATTAGACAAGTTCACATCTGCGAATCCCACCTTTGATTTCGGATACTACTATATACAGGGTGGGGCATTAATTAGTGCGTCGGAGCTCGATTGCTCGAGTTCTATGATATCTAGAAACTTAATTCACAAACGAATGTCAATAAGATCCGTAATGCTAGAAGTCATTGCTGCATATACAGGGGGCATCGGAAAAAATCTAGAGGGTCAGGATCACTTTTTTTAAATGGAATGCCCTATATATTAAGTAGCACATTTTCTGAAGCATTCCTGTGACCTATATCCACTTCTATAATATTGTTGACTATTTCTCGATCATTTCAGTTATTAATTTTTTTGTCGAAATAATGTCATCTGCAGATCCATACCAAAAAATTCACTGTAAGTAATCACAATTATGAAGTTTAAGAGATAATAATCATAATATCATTTGATGGAGAGATGCGTGATATTTCCGTAAAATTTTCATGGCCTCAAATTATACAGGGTGGCTAAAACTGATTTTTCAATTCGGAACTTTTGGAAGTGATTTTTCTCGGGTTTATCAAATGGAACACCCGATATATTTTTAGGCCATTTGGTGAAAAATCGAAACACGAAGATCTTTTATATCAACATCCATATAGATATTCGTAGCCATTTTTGAATTATTGAACTTCGAAAATTATAAGTACCTAGGCCATTTTCATCGATACACGCATTCTCATATGTTGAGAATAAGAATTGATAACAGAATCAAAGCAAATAGAAATAGTTCATATGCTAGTTATTCACAAAGTGAAAAAGAACAAAATTCCCATTTTGCATAATTGTAAATTACCATCCTGATTTTGATTTTGATGTTCTATGAATTTATGTGATATTTTGAAAATGTAAATTTTTTCTTCTTCTACTTTGTAAATAACTAGCATATGAACTATTTCTGATTTTTTGCTTCAATTCGGGTTTGAATTCTTGCAATTAAAAAACTGGTTTACTGATTCATTAATTGGACTTTTGATGTTTTAATAACAGATAAGAATGTGTATGGATGAAAATGGCCAACCTGGAATTTTCAAAGTTCAATAATTCAGAAATGGTTACGAATATCGATATGGATGTTGAGATCAAAGATATTCGTGTTTCATTTGAAAAACTCGAGAAAAATCACTTCCAAAAGTTCCGAATTGAAAAATAATTTTTAGCCACCATGGATAATTTGAGAGCATGAAAATTCTACAGAAATATCACGCATCTTTCCATCAAATGATATAATGATTATTATCTCTCAAATTATATCATTTAACAAAGTTATTGAATAATTTGTCCCCCCGCCGATGTGTAAATACACGGACTGTGCTCTCCGGCATACAACACAGAAGCTCATTATTCGAGGTGCGCTTCGTGCCGTTTTTCTCGAAACCGGACAAATTTTCGAGAAAAATGATAAGGACCATTTTTGTAGAAAATTAACTGAACTTCAATTTTTATCTGAAACGAAAATCTTTAACTGCAATATTTTAGGAGATATTGGCTGAAAACCTATTTTTCTGGTCTTTTGGGGCCATTTTCTCCGCAATCGCACGCGTTTTCCAGTCAAACTATGTCTCATGTTTAATAAAATAGTGCGTAATTAATGGTAACTTTTACCCTTTATTTATTGGACTATTTGTCTTTATTACAGGTATACTGAAATGATATTGTATTTTTATTTTTAGAGACGAAAGAGAAAGAACTCAAAAAATCTGTAGAGGATTAAATGATAAACATATTAGAAACATGTTTAAAGGTCAGAGATAATAATAAACAATAATCACTAGTCACTCATTTCGGGTACAACATCACTTGGTTTTCTACTTACCAATCATCATCAGGTCCCAACAGAATCAGAGGAAGAAAAGAGGACTATGAGATAGATATTTTTTAATCATTTTTTTCCAAAATTGATTCCATTATCGATCGAAGAACAACTCGAAAACGAATAACCAGGTCATATTATAATGTAAGAATCAGTCTCCAGTACTAAACAGCAGATTTATCCTTAAAAATATAATAACAATAGGCACCAAAAATAATACCTAGGTTCCATGTGAGTGGGGCAAATACCGACCCTCTAAGGGGCCCTTTGTGGCTGAATAATACCTATATTTGATATGTCAAGAGAATTTACTTTACTTATTTCACTTTGAAAAGGTCAGACATTTTGTCCTTTTGATGTTGGCATCAATTACTGTCAAACTGAGTATCATTTGTAGAATTTATTATCATTAGTCAATGTTCTGATTTCATTTACATTTGACATTTGACACTTTTTAGCTAACCTCACAGTACTAAATGTCTAACCCTTGAAAATATATGGTCAATTATGATAATTCGGTATTCCCACTCATACATTTATTACTAATATCATGGAGCATATCAACTTATGTCTTTCCATCAGGAAATGGAATCGGCCAATAGTCATTATTTCAATATGTCCGAAATTTTTAAATTTTTTTATAGATCTGAGCGCTATATTGATAAATTCGAGTTTGAAGTTAATTATCAACATTTCTTTTGTACTGTGCATGATTTGTTTATTCATATTTGGTATGTGTTTTCAATTCATACCAACTTTTTTGAACCATGTGTGAGTTTGAAAAAAATGTTCTATTTTGAACTATTTGATCTTACCATACTCCTAGACAATTATCATGAATTTAACAGTATTTAGGTACCTTTACCCGAGGGTGTATACCTAAATTATAACGGAATTAAGAAAAAAATTGTGATTCACTTTATTATCAACAATAAATATTAATGATTATCACATTTAAATCATTATTCACGAACCTATAAGCTTACTACAAAATCGTAAGAAGCTCACGTCAGCTTCCATCGTCCATTATTTTTTTGTCTTAATAGAGCAGAAAGTTACGATATCATATAATTCAGTAGATGCGCCATATATTTGGGATGAATGTATGAGTATAGGTACTTATCGTTCAGTATAAATAAATAAATATTCATGAATTTAGAAAAAGCGAAATTCAGAACTATATACCAGATCTTGAAAAATTGTAGTCTCACATAAACACGCGTTTTATTTCGAGTCTCAATGTCTCACGCGCACAATTTCACTAACTCGGTGATCACTAATCCTACAATGTCCTTGAAGTCACTAAACTAATATCACTGTGCTGGAAAGCGATTTTCGGAATATATTTACAAGAGTTCCTAGTGCCTGAACACATTCGGTCATCAAAGGCACATTCCTGGATTCTGGGTGCACCATTCTGGCCACATCGCCTCAGCACCTATACCCCTACTCACTAACCTAGAAAAACAATAATTGAGTTGAAACGATAATCGAATCTGCGAATCTCTATCATAAATCTTTTCATAAGTATGTGTCACATAAAAATATTTTTTCTAAAATTTCGTATTTTCCCATATTGTTCACCACGTAACTTTTTTAATACTTTGTGAAATTTCGATCAAATCGTAGATTCATGTTCCGGAATGTTTGTCTTGATATTAGTTTCCGTGATTTATTTTTAAGAGAAGGTACGAGTGTTTCAAGAGAGTATGTCATTTTTCAATTCTTATTAACAATAATCAGAACCTACATAATTATACTTATACTTGGCATAGAATTGATCAAATTTCGAAATTTCTCAAGTAGTCATGAAGAATTGCCAAAGAATTTGCCTAAATTTTCCTTGAAGGATAAATTATACCTCTTGAAGAGTCTCTGACAAGGCCGGACGAAGACGAATGAGTCTCTGGAGTTCATCTCTAAGATGCTCTATTGGCTCTGAATTATTGTTAGAACAATTAAAAAAATCCATAACTCCCTAAAACACTTGTATCTTCTCTTCAAAATGAGATATTGACGTGACTCTACAACCATAGTGTTAAGCAGGGACGAAATAGGATCACACCTCAATTCAAAACATGATGAAGCAGAAGGTTGGAGGTTTATTGTTATAATAAAAATCGGAAAATCCATACTTTCTTAAAACCCTTGTATCTTCTCTTAAAGAGTGATTATCAACGTGAATCCAACATTGTGTTGAGAAGGGATCATACATCAATCTAAAATATGATGAAGCTGAGTGCAACTACTCACTTCTGCCACAGGGAGTTAGGAAGTTGAGGGTGAAATGGTAACTTTGGTTTTTCCCTGTATAATGATCAAGTTATCAGATTTCCACGGAAACTAATAATCAGGCTAACATTCCGGAACATGAATATACAATTTGATCAAAATTTCACATCAATCGGACAAGGATTGAAAAAGTTACAGGATGAACAATTTGGGAAAATTTTTTGGTGGCCGTTTTTTTTTCCGTTGAGTGTATTTCAAATTTTAAAATTGCGTTTATATGCACTAATATTGTGTTTTTGTATTCGAAAGAATATCAATTCATTATGTCATCATGTCAATAAGAATATTTGTCGAAATCACAATATTGTTTATTATGAATAAACCAAAAACTTCGAACAATTATCATTAACAATAGATAAACACTATTGATTTCATCAACACATCATTCATGCATGAAGATTACATAGAAATTATGAAAACTGGCAAAGAATTCAAGAAAAAGTGGCCGTTAGTATCATTGAATGTAGCCGATAGTGATACATTGAATCAACTGTATAAGGAAACAAACACATTTTCTTTGGAAGAGCACTTTTTAATCAATACTCTCAGAATTTCCTATTATATCATCAACAAAAAGCTTAAATCAAATTTTATATTAATCAGGAATTCCGAAATTCATGATCATCACACTAGACAATATAACTTGTTTCATCTTGAAGCTGCAAATTCTAAACTTGCACAAAAAAAGTTTACACATGAGGCGATTTCGAAATTCAATAATTTACCAGATGATATCAAAAACAGCCCAAATATTATGCAATTCAAAAATAAAGTTAAGAAATATATTTATATGCAAAGGAATGATCAAAGCTGAAAGACTATGAATTTCCTTTTTTCTTTTTTTTCACTGTTTTTATTTTTCCCCTTCTTGTTCACTATAATATGACTGTATCTTAATGATATGTAAGTTTTGTTCACTATTTGTAATTTCAATTATACAACAGTCGATAATACTTCATGAATGATCTTATACCAGGAATTACTGTCTGATCATTCATGTCATTCCTACTAGAAAATTAATTATACTTTATATATTATTTGTATGAAATGTATCAATGAAGAAGAGAATGTAATGCAATAACTGAAATAAATAAATAAATAAAATTTAGGATCGAGCTTTATTCGAGATATTTCAATGCATAAATAACAAAACCATAACCTATCAGAATGGAGCCATTCATGCTGCGAGTGTATTTGTGGTTATGTATGTTTTTGTTTACCAGTTTTACTTTTATTTTTTTCATTCGTTAGCTTTTCACTGGCTATATTCTTCACTATCAGCTATTTTCAGACTAGATTCAGAATGTACGTCACAGTTTGCCGCCCCGAAAATTAGAAATTGCTTTAATTTGAACATGAAAAACGACTTGGACTTTATCGGTCGCCATTCTGTACAGCGTGGACATAAAACTGGAGAGTTCCGAACTTATTCCATGGAAATTCATCTGAAGGAAACTTCTTCATTGTGCTAGAATTGAGGTCAGGTACCGCATAACCATCCGCACACCGGGCCACTCACCTGTCCCTATGCGTGCTGAGCCGCGTGTACACGTCCTCCTGCAAACTCGGCACCGCCGCATCGACCAGGACCGGATCGGCCCACACGCGCTCCGCGAACGCGGCCGCCCTGGGCCAGAGTCGAGCGTCCAGGCTGCCCTCGTCGAACTGCTCGCTCCACAGGCACGCCTCGCCGCCCAGCACGAGGTTTCTAGAGGGCGGGCGCAAGTGCTGCCAGGGGCGGTGCGTGTAGACCGACTGCCAGGGGCGATAGGGGTCGCAGGCTGCCTCGCCTGTCTCGCGCCACCTGCAAAAAAGGGGAAGAATGGTTCTGGTAGAGTGCTGCCACAGTTTTATCACATGTCCAGTACACAGCTTCGCGGATGATAGTACCCTCCATACCGCCTTCTCTTCCTCAGGGCTCCAATACCAGCCAGGCAAATCAGAAATGAACGAGGGAGAAATGTTGACAACATAAATATGGACTTGGCAACAATTCTCGAATGGGGATCCAATAACTTAGTAGATTTCAACATAAGCTTGTCTACGGTGTTCCAGAGAAGTGAGTGAGTTTGTGAGCGAGGCATCACCCACGAGACGAATTGCCCTTCTTTGGACAGAATCCAACAGTTTCAGGGTATGTTTGGGTGCTGCACTCCATATACAGGGTGTTACATAATTCAATACAAATATTTTAATGACATATTCCTGGGGTCAAAATAAGACTTTTTTTTCTATAAACATGTGTCCTAAAATCCACCCCCTCCAAGCTACAGACATCGCGTGTAATGATAAGTTGAGGAAAGTGAATCGATTGTGACATGACGGTTATGACATATCACAATGTCAGTTTGGCATAAAAGATATTAATTAATCATTAGTTACCAGAGACAAACATAATCATAGCTCACTCAGTTTTTTTAGTATAATAATTTGAAAATACACCCCTTTCATTTACTAGCGATTTTTTCTAAAACGGTTAGCTAATTCAAGAAAATGCAAGAGACTGAAATGTATGATTTTTTAGTGGCCAATTCAACGATGATGTTTGAATTCAAATTTTTTTGGAGAAAATAGAAAATGTTTGCCATCAAATCTGTATGCAACCCTCATTCACCCCTTTCGATTCGAGTTACCTTATTTTTGAATCAAGAAATGAATAGATCGTCTAAAAATACAAGTGCCTGTGAATTTTCAAAATATTTGATGCATAATTGTAGCCACAATTCAAAATTTAAGATTTTTATTGCGCATCTTGCGATGTCTGTAGCTTGGAGGGGGTGTATTTTAGGACACATGTTTATAGGAAAAATAGTCTTATTTTGACCCCAGGAATATGTCATTAAAATATTTGTATTGAATTATGTAACACCCTGTATAGGAACAGTATTCCAGGACAGGTCGAATCTGTGCCTTATAGATCACAAGCAGCTGACTGGAAGTGAAATAGCTCCTGGCCCGAAACAGAAAACCAAGTTCTTGGGATGCTCTTTTAGCAATGGATCTCACGTGATTTTCCCAAGAAAAGTTATTGCTGATAGTAATACCAAGCATCGAAATCGATGTCTTCAAAGGTATGGTTACTCCTGACAAGCTTATGTTGGGCACAGTGAGATCGGCTTTGCTAGAGAAAAGGCAAGTCCATATTCATGTTGTCAACATTTCTTCCTCGTTCGTTTCTGATTTGCCTGGCTGGTATTGGAGCCCTGGAAGAGAAGGCGGTATGGAGGGTACTATCATCCGCGAAGCTGTGTACTGGACATGGAGTTGCTTCCAAGAAATCGTTGATATGGAGTAGAAATAATGTTGGTGCTAGAATTGATCCTTGCGGAACACCAGCATTTATGATAAGAGAGTCAGATGAAACTCCGTCGACCACTACATGGAGAGATCTGTTTGAGAGAAAACTAGCTAGCAGAGAATAAAGCGGGGGAGGAAAGCCATAAGATGGAAGCTTGGCGAGGAGTCCGTGGTGCCAGACTCGATCGAATGCCTTGGAGATATCAAGTGCCACGGCTAAGGTTTCATAATTCCTGAATGTTCCAGGTATTTCATGAGCTTGATGGTGATAGCTTTCTCCATGATCTTTGAAATTAAAGATAGCAGTGCGATCGGTCTGTAGTTGTTAGGTAGGGTCTTTTTGCCTTTTTTAGGAACTGGTTGTACTCTTGCAATTTTCCAGTTGGACGGGAAATGATTGGGACAATAAACGAGCGCCTCGCGAGAGTTGCCCACACTGCATCCATCATTTTTGCTTCCAACATAACATGATTGACGTTTTGAATGTCAAAAATTTTATCGCTGAAAGACGAGGTTAGTTAGTTACGTGTGGGTCGATTCGGCTTCTGAGTTGGTAAAGCAAGTCCAATAATTTTTAGTAAACAAAAAATATCGCTTTAGGTAATAGGTACAGAAGAATCCGTGAAAATGGTCGATTCTGATTGGTCCTTGAGAACAAGAGTGGAATAGTCATATTTTATACCACAAGTGATACTATTTTGCCGGAAATAACCGGCGATTGTTGCGAGCCGTAGGCGAGAAGTTTTGAATCAATGTCATTAGCGAAATCAAAGGAGCTAGCTGGAGAATGTCAATCGACGAATATTTACAGGAAAAATAGCATCACGAGTTGAATTCGTATGAATATTTCATGATTGAGACAATAAACAAGCGCCTCGCGAGAGTTGCGCACCCTGTATCCGGCATTCAGGCTTCCAACATATTCGACGTTATAAACGTCAGAAGTGTTATCGCTGTAAAACGAGGTTGGTGGGTCAATTCGGCTTCTGTATTGGTAGAGCAAGTCTGATTAACTTCAGTAAACAAAAACTATCGCTGTAATAGGAGAATCCGTGAAAATGGTCAATCCTGATTGGTCTTCGAGAACAAGAGTGGAATAGTCATTCATATTCGTATGATAAAGAGGTTGAAAACTCACCTCCCGAAACCGCAATCCAAGTACCAAGCATCCACATGCGAAACGATCACTCTGTATCCGTCAGCTATCAAATCTGGCGTGTCCGACCACTGACTCGCCCCCCAACTTTGCACCACTACGTTCTCCTTGTCCAAATACTTGGTCACGTAAGGCCTCTTGCTCAACCTGTAATAATGGGCCTGTTTCAGTGAAAAATATTATTTCATTGTTTCGAAGTAGATATTAACCCTAATTAGTTCACTATAGCAAAACCGTATTTTCCTCAGAGGTCTGTACATGTTTTAAATAGTTATTGAAATTCGCTGTATTTCATAAAGTCAAGAAGAATAAATGCCTATAAATTAGCATAACTCAAACTCTCGCTCATTTCAAGATCTTTAATCATAAATTAACTTTTCCAAATTAAAACATCCAGTACATTGTAGTAGATCAGGTCAGCGGAGTTCATAGACGTCAGTTCCTTTAAAATTTGCAAAAAAAACGCTTACCGTGCGATAATACCTAAGTAAGCAATATCGAAAGGTAACGGCCATTCCCATTGCGGAAAATTGCCATGTGGCAAGCATTTATCCACGATTTTTCAATTCAATCAATAAATGGTGACATGATCAAAACCTCTCGTCAAACAGCCAAGCGAATAGCTAAGTTACAACCTATAGGAGGGTCGACATCTGAGTTGCGACAATAACAATAAAAAAGCGGGTAAACGCCTAACGAAATGACCCGTGAACAATACAATCAACCATATAGGATTCGACTAAATAATAATAATAATAATAATAATGATAATAATATTTATTTTCCATTAGACACAAATAACATGTATTGGAATCGTCATCACATCCATTACCTATTTCAGACAAGTGTAAGAATATTTCTGATTGTCATTCTCATCAAAATATGAAATGAATTTTCTGAACTGCAGATAACAGAGAACACAACACACAAATGGAGAATCAGATAATATGAGCATTATCTCTTAACAATATCTGTTAGATTTGAGCTGATAGGTTTTGGAGATAAAAGTAACATACGAAGATGACGTTAGAAAGTTAGGTTAGATTTTTCTTCTTCTGTTGATATTCCTGTGAACTCTGAACATTGCGCTTTTGCCAGGGTCACAAAATAGTTTGAGTTTAAATTAAATCTCGATCATTTTTACGAATATTAGGATATTATGATTAGCACTGAAGCATCTTGCAAAATATATAAGTATTCGATAAATGATTATTAGGGACTATATGTGGAACCATTTTCTTCTGTGAATATAAATACTGTGTTGTCATTGATCATATTGAATCTCATAATGTGATTACTAGTTATGAATTTGGCAGCAAAAAAAGTTTTCATGATAATTTCAAAAAACGAATGATTGCGTCAGATACTATTTATACTCGGAATGATCGATATTGTTAAATATTTATTGACCTATGTACATTTATTTATTTTTTATCCTTACTACAAGGTTAACTTCGTAAGGTTTTTCCCAGTTTATTCAAATTACCTTTATGTTTATTCCAATGTATATTTTGTAAACGTTTTTGAATAAACTTATATTATTATTATTATTATTAAATAGGTATGTGGCATGATTTCGACTAGTGTGTACAAATTCATTATGAATAGTTGATTAAATAAGTACAACTCAAATATTAAATTTCTAAGAGTGTGAAATTTTCATTGCTTCTATCATTATTCATCTTCTGTTTTTTTTTAATAAAAATGGTGTAAGGAACCGTTGAAATAAATGAACAAATAGCTATTAACTAGGTACTAGAGTGGGTAGATTAAATGACGATAATAGACCTCCATATGGCTGACGTTTCCGGAATGTCAATCGTGGTTAAGTCACTGAATACTTAAAAACCTGAAGGGTATCTCCCACGCAGTAATGAATTTGCGCCTTCGAAGTGTCCACCTGATGTTAGGTTTAGATATTTGATATTTTACTAGTCCCAGAAGACGTATTCTAATAACTAATATCCAAGGGACTGACGTATAGAGTTTCATGTCTGATTAATAGATGTTTTGAGTGCAAAGAGTAAAAACAGAGACAATGCGTAGAACTGAATGGAGAAAACAAGACAGGTGGATGCACCTCCACATTAGAGGTCTGACGAATCAAAAAGTTTACCATTATAGTCGTCACTATTTATAAAGTCACTCTAATAGGTACCTGCTCGACCACACCACCACCCTCGGTATCTTGACCCCCCCGTTGGCCAACGTGAGCCTGTTCAAGGCTTTGAGGGTGAATTCGCCCCACAAGTCGTGAAGGTCGGTGTAATTGTAGGGCGTGCTGGTCTTCTGGAGGTGTTGCCCCCAACACTCGAGGTTGACCTCGTCCCCGCCCAGGTGGAAGATTTCCCGTTCGTCGGTGAGGTCAAGGAGGTTGTCGTACAGCTTCTGGAGGATGTCGTAGACGTTGGGGTTGTCCGGGTTGAGCTGACCGCAGGGCGGTTCTCCGCAGTAGAGGCTCCAAGGGCGTTCGTTCACGCACAGAGCGAGGTCTCCTAGACCTGAAACGAAGTATCACCGTGCAACAATAGTTATTTATACAGGGTGATTCAAAATTCTATGTAAATATTCCAAGGATCTATTGTTGGGATCAAAATAAGATTTTTTCTTATTATAAACATGTGTCCTAAAATGGCCAATACAGTTCTGTTTCCCACCAAAAGGGATATCCTGTAATGTTCAGAGAACATCGTGAGAACCAAGGGAAATAAGGTAGGAATTGGTGTTCTTTTTGAATTTCTGGAGGTTATATGCCTCGGAAAACACCTCCCTTGGCAATGTGTTCCAGAGCCTCGCTGTTCGTTGGACAAACGAGTCTTTGGAAGAGATGTTCTGCAGGTCTCCAAAGTGACCACGAAGGGGTGCGAAGCCTCAACTCGACGGGTTAATCTCGCTGGGACTGCCAAGGGAGGAACAATTGTTGATATTTCAGAAGATAATCTGAAATTATGATCATAATAACGGATCAAGTGCAAGTATTTCAGTACTACTTCTGAAATAGCAGTCTCAAATGCGTTCCGACATGCGACATACGATCACCTCCGTATGCAAGCGTTCAATCCATCGCGTTCGAAAACGATGTTGTGACTTCCTCTTTCTTTGATTACTATTTTCTGGCAAATGGTTAGTTGTATGAAAAAAAATGCAAGATACCGAATTCTGACATTTTTTATGGACCACAAGATCATGTTATTCAAAGTCAGAGTTTCTATTTATCCAAAACTGGGTTTACATCATTTGTGGAGCAAGAAGATTTGGTTCGTTATTTTAGTCACAATTTCAGATAAGGGTGGAGGGGGTATATTTTCAGGACAAAAAGTCTTATTTTGATCCCAACAATATGTTCTCGAAATATTTACATCGAATTTTGAATCACCCTTCATACAGGGCTTTCATTACAGAATTAACCACCCTTCATATCTTCTGATCTGCGGTGATTACAAATTTTGGAAATATATACAGGGTGTAACATAAGTACGTTATAATATTCAAGTGACGTATTCCTGAGACAATTTTGAGCAATAAAGTCTATATAAATTTGTGTCCGGAAATAATTCATTTCGGAGATACAGGATGTGTTGAAATACAGAAAACAAATGATTTTTCAATAAACATTTCATAGGAAAAAAGTAGTTTATTAACAACTTCACTTAGCGACCTAGGAGCTAAGTAACATGCATCGATATAGAAAATTGTAAATATCTCGAAATAAATCACCTCCAGCATTGTTGAGGAAATGTGTGTAAATAACTTATTCATATGCATCAGGGTGGTAAGTTTTGAAATTGAAGCCCTGTAGGTACGAGGAATATAAGGCCCCGTGAATTATTTATATCTATATATACCTTCTTGTGGTCCCCAAGCCCATCCGTTTCCAGCATGAGCAGGCGTATCGACTTCCAGCAGCACCCTGATACCCCTCACCCTGCCAAACTCCACCAGAGCCCTAACCTCCTCCTGAGAATACGTCATCCCAGGCCCGTACGACCCAGTCTCAGCAAGCTGCGGCACGCTCGGCACCACCAAAGGAAAACTCTGGCTGTCAGTGATGTGCCAGTGGAACACATTAAGCTTGCTGGCCGCCATGCCGACCAAAACCCTCTTCAGACTCTCCACTGACATGAAGTTCCTCGAAGTGTCCACCATGAGCCCCCGGTAGGGAAAAACCGGCACGTCTTGCACCGTAGCGCCTTTGATGACCTTGAGAATGCCACCCGAAGCGTACTCGTCCCACCAAATCAGCTGTCCCAGAGTCTCAAGACCATGCCTAGCTCCGAAGAAGGTTGCAGCCGTTATGTTAGCCACAATGTCCGTGTCATGAGGCTTCAGCACGATGCTATAGCCTTCGTCAGTGTCTAACTTCAGCTTCACAGTCTCCGGCTGCTTTATGCTGACTCTGACCAAGAACTTCCGCAAATCGCTCTTTTCCTTCACATAGTCTTTATACTGGACCAAGCTGATAACATTGTCGTTGAAGCTGCTGAACGCCTGGTCCAGTAACGCTCGTACCGGACCGGCCGCAGAGCTTTCGAAGGTTAATTGCTCGTGGTTGAATGTCACTGCTCGACTGCCCAATGTAACCGGTCCCGTGGGCTGCGGCCACAGTTGAGTGGAGCCACAGAGCATGCTGCAAGTCGATAGGGAGACTAGGGGTAGGTTTTCTTTAATGTGGTGGCGTTCGCATCGTTGATTGACGCATTGCCAGGTCCATTGTGGGGGCCGGGATTTCCTGGAATCAGAAGTGGGATTAGTTTTGTGGCTTGAAGGGTGATTTAGAGTAGCATCGGTTAATGCTTCATGGTAGCTCACTAAAATCTAATTAGGAATTTGCGGAGTTGTCAATTCAATAGAAAATAAACTCGAAGTGTTTCTGTTTGCGATCTGAAAATTAGAAGCCACTGTGGAAAATAAATCAGGAATGGTAGCCGAGACAGACGTCCTATAAATATTTATGAAATAAGTGACAGGAAAAAGGAATTCTACATCTACAACCGTGCAACGATATGGCGCAGAGAAACTTTGATGGCTGGGAAGTAAAACTCTGAAACAAGGCTGGAATTTGTTTTTCCTAGAAGGGTGTCACTCTTGGAGTTTCAAATGGGAATAAGCTCTCTAGTCCAGAATATTGGATTCGCGGAGAGAAAAGAATCCTTCGAAGAGATTGCATTCCTGACAACCAATTTGAAAGCCAATTTCGCAAAAATGAAACAGTGGACGTTGAAATGATTTCTGCTCTGTCACAAGGTGTTTGTTCAAAATTACACATCTGTTATTGCTAGAAACGATCGTGTATCTGATGAGGAACTCTGTCATCAATATTTGACTCCGGTACAAGTTTTTCGAATCAGGTCGTATATCACCTGAAGTATACTGGCGAGATACTATATACCCGTAGTATCTTGAAGAAATAGTCTGGCGTTGTTTTTTTATCACATTGTTCCTAAAGGATATCAATTTTCGTCAAGATATCTCGACCTACTTTGATGAACGTCGAATAAAAAGAGTTGTGAGTATCCTCGAAAGTTCAGGTTTTACTTCACGCTTCGATTTTAACTTGCCAATCCTACGATACAAGGTGAGAAACTTCACAACATATATATACAGTGGGAGTCGATTGTAACACGTCTTATATATAGGGAATGAAGCAATATAAAAAAATATTACCTACTAAGACATTGGTATAAAAATACGAAAAACACAAATATAATATGTTACAGATACTGAATACGTATCCGTATAATGTGTTTAATATTTGCTAAACAGACCATACGTACAAGTTGTATATTAATATGCGATTTGACAACTTCGGGGGATGTAATTCAAATTTGATGAATATACTTGGGGAATGGAACTGTGCGGGTCATATATTTGACATCAAATGTGGACCAGGCAGTATGAATATATGTATATATCAATATATCAGCGCCAGCAACATCCATGTAAACTAGACCCTATCTAAGATTAATTGATCAACACTAATTTATGCGTGAACACACGTTTATATTATGCACTGCGTTATGACTGAAATGTATCGATGTCACTTACAAAAAACAATTTGAAAATCGTGGTACTTTTGAGTGCGATCGTGGATAGTACAATTCACCATTGAGTTTTCACTGGAAAAGGTAATACAAAAAAACGGATATATATACAGGGTGTTTCAGTTTTTTGTAGCAGGACTTTAACAGCTTGAAGAAGACATTTTTTTTAGATGAAAATCTCATACAAACATATATGCGTGGAAGCTTCGTTTCCGATTTACAGGGTGTCAAAGTTTCAGATTTTTTTTATGTTTTTTGAATTTTCTCCTACAATTTTCGGAATAATTGATTGAAATTCAGTACACCTAATACACTTCAGAAACTTAATATTTGAGGCTATTGAGCGTTTTTGAATACCTACAGGGTGATAGACTTTCAGGTGTCGTACCCAATTTAGCCCTGTAGAACTTTTTTGCGTGCCGTCTTTGCTTTCAATGGGACATAGATTCAGATTGTCCTTCCAATTTGGAAACTTTTTGCCCCTACGTAAATTTTTCGAAAACTGTATAGATCTCGAGATAAATGCCAAAAATAAATAACTTATTTGAAATTTCTCAAACATTTTATTGGAAAATAGAATGACCGAAAGCTTCCATACCAAATGAAATTCAGTTGCAAAATTAGATTGAATTTTTTGAACATCTTTATAATGAAAACTAGGAAAAACAAAGAAAAAATGTTTTTATTTTAAAAAACTTCTCTAACTGGATTGCAAAATCTGAAATTGTATTGTAGAAAATTCTAGGACACCCTGTATAACTGAAACTGGTTAAACTTTCGATATCAGGGACTATATGACACGGTCTAGGCGCTATACATCGCTAGACTGTCGCTTCTGACGGTTGAGGTGTTGTGAGTTTTAATAATTTAATATCGTCATTCGTGAACGGCAATTCTAATTTTATCAGTACCCTTAGAAGTGGTTCGGTCGGACTCCACTTTTATTTATCTCGAAATCCATACAGTTTTCGAAAAACATACATGGGGGCAAAAAGTTTCCAAATTGCAGAGACAATCTGAATCTATGTCCCATTGAAAGCAGAGGCGGCACGCAAAAAAGTTCTACAGGGTTAAATTGGGTACGACCCCTGAAAGTCTATCACCCTGTAGGTATTCAAGAACTCTCAATAGCCTCAAATATTGAGTCTTTGAAGTGTATTAGGTGTACCGAATTTCAATCAATTATTCCGAAAATTGTAGGAGAAAATTCAAAAAACATTAAAAAAAACTGAAAATTTGACACCCTGTAAATCGGAAACGAAGCTCCCACGCATATACGTTTGTTCGAGATTTTCATCTTGAAAAAATGTCTTCTTCAAGCTGTTAAAGTCCTGCTACAAAAAACTGGAACACCCTGTATATTCGCATTCTCCGTGTGATGAAAATATTAATTCTTTTTCGGTTTATTCAACAGAAAACCACTACTTTCTTGGCTATATGCCACGACGAACATTGAATGATATCTATTGAACACACACGATAAGAAATTGAAATCAAAATCTTCTGAAGTAGAGAATTTGCATTCTCCTTCATACAGATATGAACATAATGTCATTCTGAATATTCAAAAGAAAACAACTACTTTCCTGGCTATTTGCCACGTCGAACATTGAATTATATCTGTTGAATATCCAAAAAGAGAGCATGAAAAATCAGAATCCTCTGAAATTGAGAATTGCCATTATCTCTGAAATCGAATAAAATAATATGATGCATTATGATATAAAAATATTACTACCAATATGTTCAGTATTGAAGGAATTCACTATCATTCCGTGCTTGTTAAACAATATATTATTTCAGCGCTAGTACGATAAGGTAACTTTTCCGCACGATTTTATCGATTCATCGTGCGGAAAAATGAAAATCGTGCGGAAAGGTACAACTTTCAAAACGAAAAATCGTGCGGAAAACAAAATTTAAAGGTGCGGAAAACCTTTTGGGCTCTGTAACAACGCAGTGTAGGTAATTGTTGAATCAGAAAAGGTCGATTGGCTGAAAATGTGTATACAACGCATACTCACTTGTAGGAACTGTAGACGTGCTTGTAATTATAAACTAGGGTCGGGGTGAGTTTCTTCGACTGCTGCCAGTACAGGTAGATGAAGAGAGCGATGCAGAGGAGAGTGACGATCAACAAGGCTCGTCGCAGCTCGCCCTGCTTCATCCTTACGCCACGCTTCTGAAAAAAAAATACAACTCTTCAACTTTTGAAAAACCTAGTTGTTATGCGATATAAATATGGAGTGTGACATATCGTTGCACTCGTCATGAAGAGGTCAATCTCATTTGCTAAAAAAATACATGGTGTTTGAGAAAATCAATCGTCTCTATCGAGAATCTGCCTCCTGAAATAGACCATTTTACGCTGAGCGGTGCTTTTGACATATTGAATATCATTATTTGTTTTTTCATTATTGGAAACATTCACGATTCTGTTTAAATTCTGTCACGTCCAATTCTGTCATGACTATGTCACTGAGACTATATTCCGAAGTCAACTGACAGTACTGAATCTGCTGATTCATCATTCCGAAATGAAAAAAATTCACTGAAAGTGTACAGATACTTGTGATTAGACATACTAGTCATTCCAAATATTTGAAGTCAACATTCTGCTGAAATTGCTGACTATCAAAAGGTGGTGTGGCTCCAGTGAACTGTCATTATTTTGGAGGGGGAAGGAATGTCATATTTATTTCCGTTGTTTTTTAAACGTCAAGTTTTGTCTTATCGATACTAAATTGAGAATATCATTTTTGATATCAGAAATGCCTGTATTTAAGTAATTGACCACCAGATAAACGAATTGAATTCAATTGAAAAAAATTTGTTCGTATCCCTTGCTCTAAAAGAAATTGAGGAACATCCACCTGCTCGGGACCTACATACAGTATCCAAAATACTTTTTAACTTGTTTTTCTTATTGTTCCCATTTTCAAATAATTTTATATCAATTGCAACAAACTGAGAACATATTATGTAACTGAATAATTTATAATATGTTATGAAGTTGTCAGCCTAGAAGAAATTTAATTTTCAATTTTGAGGCATTTGATCTCGAATCCCGATGAAAATTTTGCCTGCGGCAAAATGTTGTTTGAATTTTTGGCCCCTCTCCTGAAATGTAGTTGTTGTCACTTTCAAAGAAATCTAATTTTCAATTTGCGAGTATTTGACCTTGAACCCCAAAACAATTTTGACGCATTTTTCACATTGCAAAAATTTTGTATGACTTTTTTGACCCCCCTGGAACTCACTGAAATGACGCCCCTGTACCTGATCCTGAATAGGTTATTAGCCAACTATATCAATCTTCACACACATTTGGGCTTGCAAAAAGGTCCCATTAGGGACTAGTTGCTGACGTGCAAACGTCCCCCTCTTCTAACAGTACCAGTACCAGTTACTGGACACCCTGTATATCATATATATTGTATTATGTACAAAAATATTTATTTTTGAAAATATTTTTTCACCCACGGAATTCATTTGCATTTGGCATTAGATATTCCTGCTCTCTATCGGTTTTTCCAGGTGAAGTTATGGAAGAGATGAAAATATTTCGTTAGATTTCACTTTTCATCGTCCGTTTTCGCTCATGCTGATGAATAACATTCCTGAGATCACTAAAATTTTCACGCCTTTGAGGAAACTGCATGTCTGAAATATTTCTGCAAATTATTTGGCGGTCAGGTGTATGGAATGGAAGGTCCATAGAGGAGTTATCCTTTGTCTTTGTATGTATTGTATCTTTGGAGGATGAAGGTTTCAGAATACAGGTATTCTGCACCAATAACGAATTATTCTACACAGAAAAAAGATGCTCAAATATTTTCCAAACAAGGTGTCACTGGCTCTCAATTGAATTTTTCTTATGCGAGTTTCTGATAGTGGAATTTTGTGACAAATTATCTTTTTTTTTATCGCTTGGAGCGCATGAAAGGAAATCCCTATAATGTTTAAAGAACATATTGCGTTCCTAGGGAGGATAGGGACAGGAGGTAGGTATTGGAATTTTTTTTGAACTTCTGGAGATTGCATGTTGTTTGGAATACTTCCTCAGGCAATGAATTCCAGAGCCTAGCCATTCTATGGATGAAGGAGTTTTGATAAAGTGCTGTTGGACATCTTTCGAGGTTGACAACGAAAGGATGTGCTGACTGGGCTTGTCTAGTTCGTCTGACTGGTATTGCTAGTGAAGGGATGATAGCAGAGATTTCCGTGGAAGTATCGATAGAAAAGTGAAAGATTGCCGACCTTCCTACGGTGTTTCAATGATGTCAAGTGAGTGAGTGAGTGAGTGTGGCGTCACCCACCAGGCGAATGGCTCTTCTCTGGATGGAATCTATAAGAGCATCAGCGTATGTTTTGGTGCTGAACCCCATATGTGGAAACAGTATTCTAGAACAGGCCGTATCTGCGCTTTGTAGATCATGAGAAGCTGTTGAGGTGTAAAGTAGCTTTTCGCACGGAACAAGAATCCGAGTTTTTGTGAAGCAGCTTTTGCGATGGATCTGACATGATTATCCCATGAAAGAGTGTTGCTGATGGAAATACCGAGCATAGATATGGTAGGCTTGGTGGGGATGGTGGTGCCAGACATCACAATATCGGGCACACTGAGTTCCGCCTTTCTAGAGAAATACAGGCTTGAGTTTTGGTGGCGGTGAATTCAACTAGGTTGTTGGTTACCCAGGATGTGATTTCAGCAAGGTCTTCATTGACAGCATCGACCTGCCAGCGCAATGAGTTCTTAGTTTCCTGGGAAGAAATGGGAATTCTGGAAGAGAACGCAGTATGGAGGGTACTATCATCTGCAAAGCTGTGGATGGGGCAAGTTGTTACTCCCAACAGATCATTGATATAAAGAAGGAATAATGTTGGTGCCAAAATTGATCCTTGTGGAACGCCGGAATTGATGCCAATGGTATCAGACGATACACCGTCCACCACCACGTGAAGCGATCTGCCTGAAAGAAAACTCGATAAGAGATGGCATAGCTGAGGTGGTAAGTCGTATGATGGTAGTTTGTGGAGGAGTCCTCCGTGCCAAACACGGTCAAATGCTTTCGATATGTCCAACGCGACAGCTAGAGATTCCCCGCGTTTTTCTAATCAAGCTTGCTATAAATGGGTGACGTAGGCGAGTAGATCTCCAGTAGATCTTCGGTGGCGGTGGTGATTTGTCTCTACTTACTACATGTACTTATATCAAAATAAAACCAATACAGGGTGACACGGAAAGAGAAATGAACGCCCTTCAGAATAATGATGTGCCACTCGACCCCCCTTCCCATTTGAGATTCTAACGGAACATCTATACCCCTCCTAGGGAGTTGAACCAAGAGGGTTAAAGCTGATAATTTCAAGTGTCCCCCTTGGAAATGAAATCGACCTGTTTTTTCTATTTCTCATATTATTCACTGGAAGAAAGATCTTGAGGGTGGGAAGTTTTCAAAATTTCTCTTTGTATTTTTATTTATAGATACGAGGAGAGATAATCCCAGAAATCTAGAGGCTAACTCTCATAAACATGACAATGTACATAATCACAAGGTACGGATATTCATGTTGGTTTATCACAGTATATGTTTGTTACTTTTCAAACACTTCTTTGTTTTGTAAGATGGCGCTGAAAGCATCACGAATGAGGAATCAGTGCCATTTAGAAAGGCATCTTGGGATACGGAAACTAAATGGAACGAAACAATTCAATTCATTCCGATCCTCTCCAGAGTGTGGCTATCTCAAGAAGTATAGAATCAATGTCAACATTCTTGGATTTCTTGGTCGGCTATAATATGTTTTTATCAATATCTCTTTCAAGACCAAGAAAGCAACTGGACTACTACAGAAGAATATCTCTTTTATCAAAACAGATTACATTATTTCCTGATTTTCGAATGGCCATCTGTGTATGTACAGTGTGTGACCATTCCCGTATTTTCGAGGGAAATTATTGATTCAACAATTTTTTTCCAGATGTATTAGGTACTTTGATGAACGGTCTATGAATTGAGTTCGATCAATCATTTCTTGGTATTCTGTGACATGACAATTCTGTTTTGCATTCTGATTGCATATTCTCTTTGCTCAACACATATTGATAACTTGAAAAAAGTTATAATTTATGAATAGTAAAATGAATTAATCATAACCTTGCACCTCGCCTTGCACACTTCAATGGAGTTGATAGACTGATCTGATTCTCTTCTATTCCCTAAAAAATGACAACTGGATACATGATACAGAATTGTCAGTTGAATCACAGGCTTCAGAACAAATCATAAATTCTATGCTTCTTGCTTTCCACAAATTCTACACAAAGTATCTTAATCAAAGTAATCTTGATTTCCACTTTCCCATATGGTGGTTGGTTTTGTATGTTCTTTTTTCTTTATATAAAATGAAGAAGTGGGTGATGTTAAGAATTAAGAATGGCAATTAGGTACGATTAGGCCAATCGTAATTTCCTACTATATATAATGAATCCCATTTAGCCGATCTCTCATTGTGTCAAATTAAAACAATTGCCCGCCAGAAAACAAATTACTTGTTTTTGCAGAGGCGCACATAACATTTTTTGTTGGAAAATGTACGATATTCAAATGAAAGTGCATATACCAGCCTGAGCACTTTAAATCTAATCATTGTCAAAATAGTATTTCAAAGTATTGAGGATTATATTTATATATTTCGGATTATTGAAAAATATTACATTTCTGTTGGCCGAAAGAATGGTCGGGTAATATGGAATACCTATAGCAGCTATATATCTGATATGTCCACTGGTCTACTCATTAAGAAAATATGATCATGTCTCAAGCTAAATCATTGAACTGAACTGGTTCAGCACATGGATATGATACAGTTTGATAATTTTTCCCAGGATGTCAGATTTGTCCTAATTCTTCTAATTAAAAAGAAAACTCATCCCGATAATTGAACAAAAAACAAGAAAACAATCAAGTATACCACTTTATAACAACTTAAATGATTGAAATCCGCGTGATTCTGCTTCCACATGAAAATTTGGACAGATGTGACGTCAGAATTGCTACAGTGTCTAACTTTTGGTGGAAAAAGGAGACTAACCTCAAATTTTTATTGGTGCCACTCGATAGTATACGTCGAGCTTACTTAAGGCTTGAAGTATTTGCACTTATTTCAATACCATGCA